TTTTAGTTTTCCTCAATTAAATATATTTTTAAAATTAATTTAACATGACTTGGGATGTTATGGTTTAACTTTAAAAGACTATACTTATGTTTGTAAACATTATTGTAAATTTAGGTAAAAGTTTCTAATAATTAAGGTCAAATCTAAGTTAAAGATATTTGGTACAAAAGGATAAGACTATGTTTTCTATTTAAAATAAAGAAAACTATATTTTTTAAGTATTAAGAATTTTAGAATTTCATTTAAGAAGAAAAGAGTGAAACTTAATCATAAACTAATATGAATTTATAAAGTGAAAAAAGGAAAAGAGTTTTAACTTTAAGAAGAGGATAGTGAAGTTAAAAATAATTAAAAGCTATCCAGATATAGTAATCCTCACTTGAAAATGAAAAAGAAAAGAAAAGATTGAAAAAATCTGAAAAGAAAAAAAAAGGAAAAAAAAGAATAAAAAGAGAAAAAAGAAAAGAAAAGAAAAATGAGTGAGGATAAGCTTGAGGAGATGCCAATAAGCTTGAGGAGGGATAAGCTTGAGGAGATGCCAAATCAAAAATTGGCTTCACTTGAATAAACTTAAGGAAAATGCTTTAATATATTTTCTAAACTTGTATTGGAGTATTAGCAGCATTACTAGTAAAGTTTTCATGAAATTCTATTTCATATGAATGTTCTAAATATACTTGATGTGACAAATTACAATTCTTCTTGAAATGAATAGATTTACGGAAATCTTAAATTTGATACTAAGTACTCTTAGACTTAAAGTTTGAATGTAAGTTACTAAGGGTTTTTCTTAAATTTTACTATGTTATTTATTAAAATAAAGTATAGAAGTTATAATTTAATCTTTATCCTGAGTCATATGCGTTTATGTAATAAAAGTCTCACTTGAAGACAAGTAACATTTAAGTTTGGGGGATTTTGATACACCAAAATAATATGTTGTTTTACGTACACATTTTATGCTTATTTTTGGTAATATTGCACTTTAAAGAAGGGTATTTTCATGTTTTTGTTGTAGGTATATCAATTTTAGGCATTTGGAGCAAACATAGCAAAAATGATGAAATTTGGAGCTAAAATATTGAATTTTGAGATTTTGGCACCTGAAGTGCCACTTTACAGAGAGTTGGCACTTGAAGCACCATTTGAGAGAGAGCTAGTGCCTAAAGTGCCAAATTTGGCGCCTGAAGTGCCAAAACCCAGAGTCTTAAGCAAGTTGGCGCCAAAAGTGCCAGAACCAACATTTTAAGAGCCAGAGATAACTTTTTGCTGATTAATTTTATGTGAATTTTGGTGGTTTGGGACAAATTTTATGTGAATTTTAAAAGAAAGACTTGTTCTAAACACCCCATGGAGTCGTGGTGTGGAGATTTTATGTGAATTTTAAAAGAAAGAATTGTTCTAAACACCCCATGGAGTCGTGGTGTGGAGAGAAGAAGAGGGGTGTGATTAAGAGAGAGAGAGAGAGAAAGTCAAGGGCTTGGAGATTTTCCTCATATATTGTAAGAGGAGAGAGAATGTGAGAGATTTCTTCTTCATTACACTTCTAAGAGAGAATTGAGAGTGCTTGTAAAGAGAGAAATTGCTTGAAGAGAACTTCTAGGGATTTGTTCTTTTTTTCTTTGTTCTGTGAACTTTTTTATATACGAAATCTGTGTTTTTTTGTATCCTTCTCATGACTTTTGAGTAGTCATCTTTATACTTCTCCCTACTTTAAAATATGATTTTGTGCAGAATTAATTTTGTTTTATATGATTTTAAATGTTAATAATTTGTGATGATTTGAACTTTGATCCTAATTTACTTTTCGATTTGGCTAATTGAAATGTTAAAATCGGTTGAGAAACATATGTTTTGAAAGAACTTTGATTTGTACAACATGGGGAGAATCACATTTGAATCAATGGGATAGGATGTCATCCATGGAGTTGAGTATGAATAAATAGGGAAATAGACTTTGTTGGATGCAGAATTTGAAATTTTAAGGTGACGGATTAAAAACCCCAATTTGGTCCAGTTGATTGGAAATTAATTCAAGATTGTTAGCCCTCAGGTGAGGAAGTAATGGGAGCTCTGGAGTGGCACCCGGTATCCTCTCAGCCTAACCACAAAATTAGGGACCAAACATTGGATTAGTCAATGTTTTGTATAGCACTCCAAAGAGGGTAAAGAATAGGATTGCTTCTATTTTCTTCTTCTTTGTTGTTTATTTGGTGGGCTAGAGGTTCTTCCTGCATTTGGTTTTTTCTCAGATATTGTAGTTGTTTTGTTGTTGTTCTTCTGGTTTGTCCTTATTTTCGTCTTCCCTGCCTGAGCTGGGGTCACCACTTGGTCTGTGGTGGTGACCATTTTGGTGGCTGGGGTGGGTTTTCTCTGCTAAAGTCTTACTTACTGTTGGTTATGGTGGGGAAGTGTTTAGTTGTCACTTGGTTTACTGTTCTATTGGTTTTACTGTTCCATTGGATTTTAACTTGCTGGTTCTCTTTTTGGTGGTTCTGCTCCACTCTAAATGGCTACTAACATTGTTTAGACACTAATCTCCAATGGGCCAAGGCCACCTTTGCTGGGGTGGTTGGACACCCTAAGGAACAGTTAGAAAATATTGATAAAGTAGTTTTTCCACGAGAGTTTCATGATACTTTAGCTAGCAAAAGGACTTCTTCCTGTATTCACCCCCTTATGTGTAAGGAGGGGGAACCTGTAGTTTATTTCTCTCCTCAAGATGTTATTTCATTAAATGAAGAGGTTAAGCTGACTCTGGTAGGGAAATTATAGCTGGGTCACCCTAAGATGGAACTTGTAAGGAGTTTCTTTGAGTCCATAAACTTTAATGGTGCTTGACAACTAGGGTTACTATATGGCAGGCATTTGCTTATTCAATTGACAACAGAAGAAGATTATGCTAAACTTTTTTCCAAGCAATATTTAGTTATTGTGGGGGCTACCATGAAACTTTTGAAATGGACTCCTAACTTTGATCCTAGCAAAGATCCTCCTGTGGTTCGTCTTTGGTTCAAGTTTCCTCGTCTCCCAATTCCCTACTTCAAGTTGAATGCCCTTTTTAATATTGGATTTTTTTTAGATAGACCCCTTAAAGTTGATGCTCACACTTTTAACAAGGCAAGGCCTGCTCTTGCAATAATTCTCATTGAAAGAGATATCACCTTACTTGAAATTAAAATAGTGTGGATAGGCTCTGAACAGGATTGCTTTTGACAGGAGGTAATCCTTGAGCAAAGGCCTTATTATTGTCAACATTGCAAGATGTTTGGGCACACTAGGGATAGGTGTTATAAGCTACACCATCCAGTGAAAAGGATACAAACTTCTTTGAAGGAAATTGCCCCCAATCAACTTCCTGGGGTTAATGAGGATGGCTCACAGGATGAGGCCCAGAAGTCTCCAACCCGCTTTATTTTTATTACTCCTCCTCCTGAGGAAGTGCTAAGAGAGGAACCCAATACCATTACTATAATTTCCCCCACAGTTGATTCCTTTGAGGAGAGGCTGCAGGAACCAATTCAGGAACAGCAATTGCATCATGTGATTGAAGGAGAAAAGGTTGCTGATTTGAATCACCTTTTGGGGGAGGATTGGGTTATGCAGACCTCTAAGAGAAAGAAAAAATAAACCACAGAATCTCAAAGATTACAAAGAGAGGCAGCTTATCTTAGCAATATTCTGTAGGTTGGATCATCTCCTGGACCCTCTAGAGGGAGAACCAGATCCAGATCACAACCTTCACCCCATCTTTATCCTCAAAATGCTTAATTTCTCTCAGGTTTGTTTATTGACCTCTGGTCACTTTATGTCTTTCAAAAGACTTTTAGTTTTTTTCCTTAACTGCAGTTTTTATATGTTGAGAATGGGTTTTTATGGTCTTTGGGTGATGGCAGACTCTTATCAACATTTATATACACTATATCTAAGAAAATATGGAAAACTTTCTATTCCTTTGCCTTTGATTCAATTCAACAAGTCATTAGTCAATTTTTTGGTTTGTTGTGACAGAAGTAATAATTTAAGAAAGGGTCTGTCTGGTCTTTGGGTGTTGGTAGAGTTCTTGGTAGAGTTCTTTCTGCTCTCTACTCTTTCTGCTCTCTACCAACTTTCTTGAATGATATGGGAGTCTTTTTATTTCCTTCATATGTCTCATGTCAGCAAATCACTGGTCATTTTTCTGGATTGTTTGGATTGCAGTCCTTGGGTTTCCATTTCCTTTCAGATGATTAATTTGATGTACTGGAACATCAGGAAGATTTCTGATTAGAATTAAACAGTTGGTAAGGAAGCACAGGTTACTGTGTTTTACTATTCTTGAACCTTTGGTTCACTGCACTCCTTGCAGATTTAGAAAACATTTCCAAAGTTTCACTTGTACTTACAATATTAATAACAAAATTTTTTTTTTCTATAGAAGTAACCTGAATGTTCAGATCTTGGATGACCAACCTCAATTTCTTCATATCCATCTTATATGGGATTTTCTACATGTTCAGACTACCTTCATTTATGCTAGGAGTTCTACAAATGATAAAGATATATTATGGCAACAAATCCAGCATCTCAAATCCTCTGTTAATGGACCTTGGATCATTGGTGGAGACTTTATAGTATAGCTAGATTGAATGAAAAATGGGGAGGGAAACCTGTAGACATTACATAAATGTTACTCTTTAATCAGAACATTAGGAACACTACCCTTGCGGAACTTCCTCATCAGGGACCTCTTGACACTTGGAGAAGAGGAAAACTTTTTGAAAGAATTGATAGATTTCTGGTCAATCAAGCTCGGCTGGATACCAACTTTATGACTACAATTTCCCATCTTCCTTACATGTGTTCTAATCATAGGCCTTTGCTAATCTCTATATCCCCTAATGTTGTTGCTCCCTTACCAAGATTCAATTCATTAATGTTTGGGTGGAACGTCCTGAATTCCTCTCCTTTATTAAGTCTGTTTGGGCACCTGTTTCATCCTTCCCTCCTTAGATTAAACTATGGCAAATTCAAAAAAAAAAGTTGTTAAATTGCTGAAAGCCTGGAATTGGAATTGCTTTGGCAACCTTACAACACAAGTTGAAGAGGCTGAAGCTGCCGTGAAACAAACTAAATTAAACATTCAGATGGGGCTCCCTAATGAACAGAACCTGATATTAGCTAATGCAAATCTGCTTCAAGCTATTCATTGGGAAAAAGAGTACTATAAACAGAAGGCTTTCATCAAAAAATTTATTGATGTGGATAGGAATACAAAGTTTTACCATGCCTGTATTAAACAAAGAAGACATTCCAACACCATCCTGAAGATTAAAAACCACAATGGCATTTGTGTCCAAGGTACTGATCTAATTCACAGAGATGGTATTGATCACTTTCAAAACCTTTTATCTGAACCCCATGAGGCTACTCTCCTGAACTTTGTCCCTAGCTTACTTAATGACAAATTCTTTGATATCCAGTGCCTGGATTTAACATTTATTCTTACTGAGGAAGAAATTTGGAAAGCTTTATGTTGTTTTGATGGTGACAAGGTGGTTGGTGCAGATGGTTTTAATTCTACTTTCTACATAATAACTTGGGAGGTGATTAAATTTTATGTTGTGGAAGCTGTCCAGGCCTTCTTCAGGGGGGAGGATATGCCACATTACTTTGCTCAATCCACCATTACTTTAATCCCAAAGGGAGGCCAGAAATCTAATTGGGATCATTTTAGACCCATATCTCTCACCACTGTGTTGTCTAAACTTATTAGCAAGCTTTTGGTTTTTTGATTAAAACCACATTTATCTTGGATGATCTCTCCTAATCATTCAGCTTTTGTTACAGGTAGACATATTACTGATAATGTGTTACATACACAGAAACTCTTGCTGGATATTGACAAGCCTTGTAGAGGGGGTAATCTTATATATAAGCTGGATATCTTTAAAGCTTATGACACTATCAATTGGAATTTTATCTTAGAGGTCCTTAAAGATTGGGGGTTTCAAAATTCCTTCTGCCAAATCATCCATAGGTGGCTTAACAATAATTATTATACCATTCTTATTAATGGTAATTCTCAAGGGCAGTTCCAAGCTACTAGGGGAATTAAACAAGGGGACCCCCTTTCTCCATACATTTTCATTTTGGTTATGGATTACTTACTAGGCTTCTTAACCATTATTTTTCTGAAAGGGAATATCTCAAATTTTCTAATAAAGCAATTTTCTAATAAATTTTCTAATAAAGCAATTTTTTCCATAAGTCATCTATGTTATGCTGATGACTTCATACAATTTTCTATGGCCTCAAAACCAGTAGTGAAGAAGGTGGTTAATCTGTTGAACTTGTTCCAACAGATCTCTGGTCTCTGTCTGAACTCAAGGAAATGTCAACTTATATTTAGCAATAAGCTACATCCTACTACCAAAAACTGGATTAAAGACTTCACTGGTTTTAAATCTACTACCAGCCCCATGGTTTATCTTGGGGTACAATTAATTAAAGGAAGAAAGAAGCAAACTTAATTTGATGAGGTGGTTTCTAAAATTTCCAAGCAAATCTCTTGTTGGACTAATTCCTTTTTCTCACAGGGGGGAAGGTTAACCTTAATTAAAAGTATCCTGACTTTTTTCCCTATGTATATTTTGAAAATGTTGAAAATGAAAAGATCTATACAGAAAACTCTAGAGGTGATGTTGAATAAATTCTTATGGGAAGGCAATCATAAACAAGCTCACTAGTTTAGTTGGGAGAAGCTTTGTCTGCCTTTAGCTGCAAGGGGACTTTGTATGAAGTCCTTCCAACAGCTTCATGAAATCTTCTATTGTAAACTCTGGATTAAATTTAGATAATAAAAATCTTTGTGGGCTAATTATATGAAGTTAAAATATTACAAACACTCTCATCCATCAATTATCTGCAGAAAATCTTGGGATTCTAGAATTTGGACTGAGCTCCTGCATATTAGGAGTGTGGCTGAAGACCTTTTTATCTAGGATGTGGGGGTAAAATGGAACTATCAACCTCTCTGGACTCAGCTATCAACACCTCTATTCATCTTTGCTGGAATAATCATCTTTCAGATAGAGATATGTTGGCTTCTATGGTGAATCCTGAACAAGTGTTTCAAATTCTTAAGGTCCCAATTACTCCACTGAAACCAGATAGAATTGTGACTAAAAATCCTCCTCGTACTTCTTTACCAAATTTGCATACTCCCAATAAAACAATTGGCACCATAAGGATTAGGGTAATGCCATGTGGGTGAAATACCTCAGCCCCTCTATGTCCTTCTTCACATGGAAATGTTTTCATAATATTATTCCCACTGATGATATACTCAAACTCAAGGGTCTAAAAGGACCTTCAAGATGTACTTTTTGTTGCCAACAAGAGGAATCCTTAAATCATGTGTTTTTCTCTTGTCTTATTGCTCAAGGGGTTTGGACACAGGTAGCTACTAATCTTAGTTTCCCTTCCCAATTACTGAATTTTGGAAACTTCCTTGACTACCGGAAAGTTTGGAAAGGGAACCATGCTAAAATGATCCCCTTTATTACTACATGGTTCATTTGGACGGCAAGGAATAGCAATAAATATGAGGTGAAAATCCAAAGTGCTACCCAAATTTCTACCAACTGCTTGGCTTATACTCTTAAGATAATCAATCTCATGGGGTATAAGATTAAAATTCTTGGGTGTTCCCAAATCCTCAATACCCAAGTTTCTGCTGCCAGACTAAAATTTTAGCTGTTCCATTGGAGGAAACCTTCTTATCCTTGGATCAAAATCAACACTGATGGGAGTTATAGAA